AACTATGCTTCGACACAGTTACATTAGAAATGGTACTGTCAGTAAACTATATACTAACCAAGCTTAGGGTAATCAGGCTAACCAGATCCTGGTATTGAGCAGCTTTGTGATTTGTGGATGGATGCTAAACATGGCAGACAAGGAGTTACTTTGTTTCGTTATTCAAGAACCATTGAAATCCTGCCATTTGCGTATGCAGTCTTGAGCGGTTATTCAAAACAACCAACTCCCCTGAAAAACTGAATGAAGGCTTTGACCATGAGGGGGTGCTCGTACGAGGAGATTGATAAATTTCTTCTCTTTTCTGGTTGTCATCAAAAGTTAGCTACTCTGTAAACACCCAGATAATTTTCTTTTCTGGTTGTCATCAAAAGTTAGCTACTCTGTAAACACCCAGGGCCAACTGACTGTCATTTTGAGCATGAACAGATTCGTTCCGAGCAAATCTATACAGTACTAGTACCAGAGAGTGAAATTTGTCTCAAAATCCATATGCTCATCAGTTTATTCTGCGTAAACTGAACTTCAGGACATGTCGTATAGTGGATGACGGAAATCAATGTTATTTATCCATGAATAGGAAAAGGGTATCGGTTGCATCATGTGCTCCTCACTTATATTGAATTAAAACATCCGGCTGAACTGCAAATACTTAGCTCACCGACGTTCATCCAGTGGACATCTCATTCTCCCGATGAGTTGATCAATATAATGTTGGTTGTTATCGCTGATCATTACAAAGCGTCTTCCTCGTGCATCACTGCATTCGTTTTTCTGTAACCGTAGAAGCACAGACGACCACTGTATCGAAATCAGCAGCCCAAATATTTTCACGCCCACTGGAGTAGAATAGATAGACAGACGTTTGCAGAGAATAAGAATCGGTCTCACTGCTCCAAGAGAAGGTTGGTGCTTGCGATCCTCCGGTCCCTACGGAATACGGAGAACAAATGATGCATCACTAGTTTCACCGTAAATGCACTCCAACACAGATAACAGCAGTCTGTAGCAGGCGGTCAGGATCGACCGCATGATAGTCCTTAGGCTCTAAGTATCCGGGATGGTACAGTGTCTTAACGGTACATTTCAATTCCGACATAAGGCTTGAAACAACCTAATTCATAAATTCACTGGATGGTGATATACTAACGAGAACAGACTGAAAATTACGGTTAGTCATGAGGTGTGTACAGTCAAACCGGGCCGCACAACTGCTGCACACTCAAAAAGCTCCGGTAGATAACATTCTCGCACGACAAACAAAAACCACTAGAATTTCGCATAGCTGTCGATTTTATTCCACTGGCTGGTTGACAAATAGGCTGCTCTTTCTGATTCCCATGTGTGCTGATCAGCTGGTTTCGGTCACGTGCGCCTTACAGTCACCTGATAATTTTTCCAAGGTCAACCAGACATTAATCCTATTGGTTCAAAACGATGTCCTTAAATCAGGTCCTCTTGGTCTTTATACGTGCTTGTCCATTGTTCTCTCTGACGATGTTCACAATTTGCTATTGCCTGGTTGTCGTTTTAGTTTAAGGGCAATTGAAAGGCTCTTATATCACCGAAAATTTGTCCTTATAGTGGTTGAGAAAGTAGGAGAGGGACTAAAAGTCGCTCGGGCACGTGAGGACAACGTATACAACGAGAAGTATGTAAGTCAACTCAGAAGGACATTGAAAAGTGGAATTATCTGGAGGTCATCAATGAAGGCCAGTGCCCAGAAGACTGGCGAGAGATTATTGCTAAAGTCACCTTTCGGGTCACTAGAAGTTGACTAATGAATGTACTTTTGTAATGCCTATTTGCATGCTTCAATCAGCTGAAGACAACAAGCAATTCCGCTGGGTGATAGTGTTAGGTAACAGTTAAAAATGACATCGACTGGTAACAGATGGGAATGTTAAAATAGACAGAGGATACATCCACCGTGCTCAACACCGTGAGTATTCTCCTGAGCTAAGAATTTCAAGAAATCTAAGATTGGCTTGAATTTGACCAAAAAAGCGAAAAATTCGTCTCTAGCCAAGTTGCGGTTTCGAAATCTATGGACAACTTCCAAGCTATGGAGGCTGAACTCGTCGAAGTGAGAAACAAAACTAGGTCCATCACAACTTTGGTTTTCCTCATAATAACAACCGTGGAAATAATCTGTATCAACTCCAAATGAAAAATCGTTTCATTTTATCAGTGCATGCTCGTAGTGATTTTACTTCATAAAATCTACCCTCTGACTATATTCATGCTACCAAGCGATGTAACTTTGAGTGAACCCCTAGATTTAGTTCACTCGTCTTTTAGGTCTGTTGTGATCATCTGTATTCATGCACATGTTTTGACTCCGTTTACCCGCAATGTGGCCTGGATCTCGAGCGTTTTCACTGTCTTGCGTACTTTTGTATACATGTGCCGTCAATTATCCGTCCAATCGGTCTATGGGATCATTGATGGGACAAAATAAGATGTATACACTCAAACTCCACCTAGATAGCCGCAACGTCATTCCAATCGAGAACAGCCAATCCACTGGACGTTCCACCGCATGGTATAGTCTCGAGCAGGCGACGCGCAACCTACGCTGAACGTGGTCCTGGCAACGACTGTCATGGTTGCGATTACCCGATGTCACGTGACTGGTCCAGAAGGGACGCATTCACATATCCGGTCTCCTAACATTCACTTTGTCAGCCGAGTGTGAGCAGCACTGTTTCTAGATGTAATTTGATGCATAAAATAAGAGTTACGAAAGAAACATTATTTTCATCGGATTCGGAAGATTACCATCACAATAGAAGCGCACAGCCACACTTTCGACTGACATCAAGGGGTCGATTTCTTCACGAAAAAGTGCATATTAAGGAATGGCAGAGGTTTGTGAACTTTTCCAGACCGTGCGTTTTTGCAAACTGGTGATATCTCCCCGGATGGTAAAGGAAAATTTAAAAATGAAAAGCTAAAATTGAGGGACAGATAACTGAGTGGTGGCTACACCTAGCCTACCAATCTTTCGACAGAACGCCACTGAGTGACTGTTTTTTCCACTCCATATCTGAAGACTGCCTCCAAATTTGTTTTCATAACTTCCATCCTATTTGTGGTGGAATTCCTCGCGGAATTTATGATAGCAGTGCAAACGAGCGAGGTTAATACCTCGGAAATTCCCCAAATGAGTGAAGTTCAACTCTAAGTCTTTCTGCAGTATCGTACAACAGCTCAGTTAGTCTAACTCCAATTTTCAGGCCCCTCGATCCAAGTATGTCTTCAAAACTATTAGCATTTTAACTAAGTAGGGTATAAAGGATATAATAGAATGGACAACGACTAGTGATTTTTCTATGTGAAATATATATCATCTTCATTTTGGCATTCATAAAATTGGAGTAGAACCATCCGAATAAAATGTGATGGGTTGAATCAGAAAGTCGCAACCGAACTCTTCAAAGTAGGCTTGAGAATACCGGTGGCTGGTTGAATCAAACCTAATATGAAAACGTCCGGTTTCACGAAGGGATATATTTCCGTGGAATGCTGCCTGATGGAGGATGCGGTATCATTATAGAGCTCTTCGTAAACCCCGATAAATCTGAATAGCTCTTTCTTCGCCTTACGTATCGGAAATGTCTATTTCTCCATCAACGTTGACGCCTATTTTGATGAATTTTGTTCTCTGACAAGATTATCCCTACTTCCATGAAGATGTGCTCCTCAGATGCTGTTCCCCATCATTTGGCTTTCGTCGATTCGGATTGCCTGAGACGCAAAAATACTTCTTTTCGACATCAGTGTTAATAATGCTTATGCTTTAGGGAAGAAAGCTTAGAAAGCATAAGTTTTGAAGCCAAGTATCCATCAAGCAACCTTTGGTTATTTTGTGTTGCTATTATTCGCGGGCTATTTCGCACAAGGGATAATACCGTTGGACTCCTGGACAACACTTACTATAGTTTGCGCCAAACTGGGGTTGGAATCAGGTGAACCAGAACAAAAGGGAAAAATCAATAACCTTTTATCCTTCATCACCAATCACCAAATGAATTGACATGAAATAGAGACAACTGGCAGTCATTCTCCTGGGACGGAGTAAACACGGAGAGGAGGAATTTGGTCACTCTCCGATGTGTCTGACGAGGGAAGATTTCGTGGACCCTACTAGGGAGCGGAAATTCTTCGGATTGGTTGGTGCTCTACGTTGTCCATAAAGAATATGTTGATATAAACATTAGCTTTATGCTCAGATGGTTTTCGCTCGACTGAACAAATCGCATAAATGAGAGCACCTGTCACTGCATTGGTCGTCAGCTTATCGCTTGTTGGTGCCCTGTTAGCACAAATGATGGCACTTCATGATAACTAGTATTGCACGACTAACCTCGAAGTACCGCGCTTCGGGGGATTTTACCACACTTACCAGCAGTGGGGGATTTTTTGTCCAATATGCCGTTACGATAATCTTTGTTCGTTGTCTTTTTAATGCATGAGCCCAAACTCTACTCAAATGGTCCTCCAGGTCAAAAGTTTTCACTAGAAAACGATTTATTAGTGTGCAGAAATTGCGCTTTTCGTAGTGATCTTTTGCTATTCATGCTATAATCCACACAAGATCACAGCATGCGTTTACATATCACGACTGATCTGAATTTAACCAGGCCAGAAGACTCGAGTAGCTACTGTAGATTGTTATCCTCTGATAAATATACTCGACGATTTGCCCATCAAACTAAGTACTAGGTAGCTTTCTTCTGCTAACTTGTCTCTATCAAACGTGCTTCAACCCCAACGAATCCACTGATCAAATCAAAAGAGAACACAAATGCGTATGAGCATTTAAAATGTTTTTGCGTTCAATCTTTTCGCAATGACAATACAGTTTTGATCGTGAAAAGCAACGTCTATGAGAAAATTCCTCTAGCGAAGGGAAGGAGCAACGCAGTGTTATAACATTCCAGGTTTTCTTGGTTCGGAATAAAAACAAGCCGTTAGATGCAGACTGAAAGAATGGATCAAATTAAACATTTTGAGTGGAGAAGCACCGTTGTATTGTTCAGGGTTGGACTGCTAATGTAGGACAAGTCAGTTGAAGGGCGACGAATTCCTAGGGCATCGGGGAGATTAGGGAGGTCGCAGCAGATGTGTTCAGGGTAGGGTAGGGTGATCACGGGGTGTCCCGACGATGCAGATTTTGCACCTGATGGAGAAGTTGACACGCTGCTTAGTATTTGCACCAACGAGATGGCAAGCTGCGGCACTCGGTTTGTAGGGAGGGGGGTGGTATATTTTTATCATTGTTCGAAGGAACCGAATTTGAATGGATTAGAGGTCCCGAAATTCTTCAAGTTTATTTAAGGAGTAGAAGATATCTTCCCGTTTGTTTCGTTTCATGTTAGAATGCTTCTTCTCTTTAAATCTTGGTTTCAATCATATTTAAATTATAAAAAATGGCGGGAAAACTGCTTGGAAAGTTTGAAGTGAGCTTGTTCCACGAGGTCGATCGACTGGGCAATTGTTCGGGTGTTCAAGTCAATGACTGATCCTTTAAAATAATTCAAAGCCCCGTGGACAGCTTGAGTTGGAGAAAAAGTGGAAAGGGGGCTTGATGTAGATCAGAAAGGTAGGTGCGGATATTTCCTTCAGCAGGTCAGTGCGGCAGTCACAATGGTCCTAGACTGGCTCTCGGGATGCTCGACCATTCAGTAAACTCTGGGCGCGCGAACTAGTGCGAGATGAGCCTCTCGAGCTGAGTTCATTCCTGGAGAAGAGCATATAAAAATAATCAGTGGAAAAACACCATGCCCTTTCGATAAAAGTAGGATGAACCCTTTACTCTAAACAGCGGTCACTCCTATTCTCTCCTTTTCCAATCAACTAAGCTAAAAGAACCAGCCGAATAGAATAAAGAATGACTATTAGAGCATAGTTCGTTTTTTCTTATGAGCTCACTTTCTCTAGGGAGCGAATAGGAAAGTACACCCACAGCATTCTCGCTCTTCAGAGGCGAGTCATACTTAGGCGCCCTTGTGGGCAAAAAAGTTCAAATAGCAAATTACAGCTTCGAGTACCGAAAGTTCTCACTCTAAGTAAAGCGACTAAGCATGTTGAACAATAATTATCCAAATGAAAATATAAATTTGAGCTAGTTTTGTTTCGCGAAGTATGTACTGAGCTCTCCAAGTACGTAAATCCATAAAAGAGACGCCTCAGAAAAAATGTTACTCACTTGGGGAGTTCAAATTTGTTCCCCATCAGTCAAACGCAATCCTCCCGATAAAGAGCTGTTTCCCGGAAAAGACGAATGCATCCTCTTACCGTGTTGCCCCCTGCTGACCTGGGTTATTTCCGTTTGGAATTCAACACAAAAATCCTCGCACGGAGCAAGGGTTTATTTTGCCTCTTCCGGTAGAGGACCAGTCTATAGGGGTTTTACACCAAATCTTAGCAGACTGGGAATGCCAGACTTTGGAGGGCTGCCTCTTTAAAAAAAACTACCCTGTTGTAACGGTTGATGTGCCTCAGTTATCCACTGAGTTATACTGGGAGCGGCCATGCGACACTCGCAGGGTCCCTCATACCAGATTGGTCAATAGTCAGACCAACACAGACTCCTGTCCCTCCAGTCGGAAGTTGGAACATGCATGGCGACTTGTTCCTTAAAAATGGTAATGCACTGGCATGGCTCGCCAAAACCCGTTGCATTGCGGTCAAGCTTTTGAGCAAATGGCTTTGGTTGAAGACAACAGTTGTCCTGCTGTCTAGGCCTGGGCGCTCTACCATTCAATCACAATGTATGAGAAAATGATAAAACAACAAATAATGAAAACTCAATAGACTGCCAGTATCGATCCAACGGCAATCGCTATACGTCCGCGAAACCCGGCACTGTGCTGTCAAAAACGTTTCGTACGAACGCTGAGTCTGCCTTGGTCACGGGACACGAATCAACCGGCCAAGTCACCAAACGGCCATCTAGACTGTCTCACAGCACCCAACTAAATGCGACGTGGGGGCACAGACAACCAAACGTTCGTGTCTCCAAGTTTTTTTCTGTTTCACTAATTAATCCTCGCTGAGTATTTCATTTCTCGCTCCTATTTTAACTAGTAGATATGTACCGACCTGATAACGAGATCACGAAAACATTAGTGTTCGTCGCTGTGTTTTTGTTCAAACCACGAGGATATTTAAGCAATTACGGGAACTCAAAGGAAAAACTGAGCACTTTCATAGTGATCCTCACAACATACGAACAGAAGAACCCATTTGCGTGTTTGAGTGAACGAACAAGTCGGTGAATGAAACTTATGTGGCACAAAGCCAAATGATCCCGGACATAATTAAATGAACAGTGCGCTCACATATAACGAGATCCTCGAATTTTCATGTCAACGTCGACCCGGGTGCACATAGTGATAGGCTCCAATTCCTTCGGGGCACTCGCGTCTGAAGGTTCTAGTGTCAGTGTGTATCTACCCTCATCGTTGGTCATGACCTGATCAATTGTTAAAGAGAGTTCACCACTCTTGGTACGGGTGATTCTTCGGCGTCCGTCGTAAGTTAAAGTTCGGCCAGCTTTCGTCCAGGTTGCTGTAATCAGAAAATACAAAATTGCGTAAGTCTGGTTACAGTGAATTTCACCCATGGTTATTGTCAGGTACACAAAAATTTTTAACTCACTATTAGGTGTGACCAACGCCGAATTTACATCCAGCCTATCGAGAAATAATGTGATAATGTATTCCAACCAACTCCCCCAATAGCACTTCTTTGCCTAGTAGGCTTTTGTGCTGTTCACGAATTGACAACGTTTGTGAACAACTTTCCCATTCGTGTTTTACCCTGCTGAGTTCAATGACTATGTCCCGTGTCAATGTTTGGATGAATTCAAGTGTGCATTCCGTTCCATCCCGAAACGTCCGCAGTTCCGAATTCTTATTTCCAACCCAATTACCAAGGTGTCCACATTGCCACAAAGCCAAAGCGAAGCTTTCAGCACAATATGTCACATCTTAAGTGTGGATTTATACAGTAACTAGGCAGCAGATACAAGTGCATGATGGTAGCTTCAGGTAAATCAGTGAAAGCCACAAGAGGGTAGGTTGTCTTCGAAGGGGTCACACACACACACACACACTGGGCAACCTGGGGATCACAGCACTTTCTGACGGACAATCTGTATGTCATTTATCAGCTGGCATCCACCCATCAAACATACCATTATACTGCCTCGTTTTTGTGTACGGTACTCTCCAAAGACAGACTAACAAAAGGGAACGGGATATCAGGCTCCTCCGGGAGAATGGTTTCATGCTGAGGGGACAAGACACCAAATCGTGAGTAACGAAAAGTGCTGTTGTGTGCCCTTGAAAATGTAGCCTCCCGCAAGAATCATTGCTGTTGACATTTCCCATCATCAAATAATCCAATACAATTTGTCTCGACTGCTCAAACTTTGGCGGTTCATGAGGGAGGACGATAAGGTCGTTCGGAAAGACCTGAGGGGATAGTAACTGAAAATCTTAGAAACCACTGTCACGGAGGATCGGTCGAAGACGAAAGTACCCTAAAATGCTAAGTTGACTTACAATAAAAGCCCGTATACATTCTTCCAAAAGAAACGGTTGACAGCAAATCGTAACCTGGTGCTTGTCCCAAGGATGAACAGGCATCACTAATCGATTGAACCAGCTCAATAGATTTGGTTTATATATACAATATATATATATATATACATCGGTTTAATATGGTGATACGGAACCCGTCTGCTAATTGTGAATATTAACACGATTTACATTCACACAACCTGTAGAAACGAATCGGTGCCTTCGAGCAGTCCATTCAAGCTGGATTTTCACGCACTGTCCAAGCTTAGTTATTTGTCAAAACAACGCACACAAAAATCGGTTATTCGGTAATATATAGGGAAAGCCAAACTGAAGAAGTAATTACCTTCTCATGTGTGGGCGTTGTGATGAAGCATGACATAGACAGCCAGCAGAACTTACGTATGTAATGAATGTTTGAACTGACTAAACAGGTTAAGTTAAGGGTATCGCCTTCTTCGACTTGAATGTGGCTTGGCAGAGGACGTATGACGCTCAAATATCCATCGGGTTTCGGAGATATGGAGGACCCTTGCCGTCGAGTGGATATTTCATCCTCAGTCAATCGAGGGAGGGACGGGGGACGGTCTGTGCCAGGAGCGTACCTGCCCGAACCGACTGGGGGAAGAGAGCGACCACGGCCAAGAGGAAGACCCGTTCCCAGAGCATGACGATCTGTCGACCCTCGTCGTCCGATTGCTTCCACGTAGACAAACGCCGTGCAGCGCTCACGTCCGTAACGATTATGTGCTATGCACCGATAGAGGCCGGCGTCTGATAGCCGAGCCTTAGTGATGGTTAGGCAAGCATGACCAAGGCCATTGACACTTGGCACGATTCGTTGTGCGTCGATGCCGTCAGGCAATATTTCGAATCCATCCTTCTCCCTGTATTGAACGCGAGTTAATGAACACGGCTCATGAAGCGGGACGGATAATACAAACAAGCTGAGGGTGTCATCACACTTGTAACCTTTAGAGTAAGCGTAGGGGTTCTGATGAGAGAAAAACTTCACGAAAAGCGTATTATTTCGCTTATCATACGCCCTTGAAGGTAACCTGAACAAATGGAATGTACTGCGATACTATTTGGTCTGTGAAAACTGCTCTGAGCTTACACTTCTCTACTTGAACAACACTCATCGTTGTGTTCAAATTTGAGGTTCTCACTATCAATGTTATTCTTACTTATCTCCAGAAGCATTTTGACGGCAGTTCCTCTAAGGGGTGACCCTCCTCATTGTGTGAATCACCAGGCTAAAAGCGATGCAACTGGTAAGCAGATGCCAGGCACCTTTGAATTCTCTAGATTCTAAAAATTAAATACTCAGTCGACCCACAGAGCACAACTGGATGAATGCAACTTCCCCTGTTTGGAACTACATGTCATACCTTAAACGACAAATTGATATGGAAAAGGTTTTGGTACTTAACTGTTGCAAGCTAGAGCAATTACAATGACTCATTGTTACCATAGTTATTCTGCTTCATGCACGGGCCTTAGCGTAATCACCCAGATGACTTGAAGTGATTTTCATACTAATATATTTTTGAAAAATAATACCCCCCTGCTACATTGCATCCAGTCGTTTGTTCACGAGCCCGTCATGTGATAAGGTAACGATTGCCGCTGACCTGAACTTCTATTTTTATTTTTTTCCGGAATGAAAAATCAAAACTTGGATTTGAGTCTATCGTCTCAAATTCTCGGCTGTTGGGTAAAACTATCAAACAATACATTAAAAAAAATATAGAAAAAATATACGAGTAACTGGATTTAATAAAACTGTATGACAATAACTCGACAAATACACTCATTTGCATATCAAGTAGGTCTTCACGGGATACTCTATGGAGTCTCTCTCTTCAGCTGTATATGCTGCACAAAGGCCACCTCAATTTTGATTGGTACAATATTCGAGATATCGGAGTATATTTTCATAAAGAAAACTACTCACAGGGTTGGAGAAAACTCTTCGAGAAATTTGTTTCACTTTCCCGTGAGAACCCAGTCGATATGCAAATGAGCGTATTTGTCGAGATCTGCCTTACTTGGATTCAAGTAGTACACGAGGTTGACGGAAACTCGGAGACTTCGCCTACCTGATGAGCCCCAAAAAGCGCGAAACCGATCGTGGACTGTCGAAGAGTTTTCAGCAACCTTGTGAGTAGTTTCCTTTATGAAAGGTTTTCAAGTGGTTCACGATCAGTAGCCATTCATCAGGCACAAAGTTCAATGGAAAATAAGGGTGTTGTACAAGCTAAACGCGCTTCGCTTATTTCTCCGTTACCTCCTCCCTCGAAGACCGAATTATTAAATCACGTTCCTGCTCCCAGTAATGATGCTATAAACCTGTTACTGAGAACGGTACTAGTTTACGGTCGCAAGTAAAACCAGAAACTCCCTCTTTAGAGGGGAAAAAGCTTCTAGCTCCACCTGATTTCAGTAACACAAGACTAAAGGCTCACTCATAACATATCAGAGATGACTTATTAATATACAACTGTTTATGACAGTCTCTTTGGAAGTAGTCTTCCCCCAGAATTCTCAATATTCTTCTTCCACACCGCCAGAAAAACGCCGAAAATAGATGGGCTCAATGGGAAGGAATGCGCGCAATCGACAACATCAAGTTTCTCATCATATATTCTTGATGCAACCTCTAGTCGTTTGACACATCCATGATCTTGGGAGTGAAACGGACGCAAAATGTAGATCTGTCGCAGCCACTGGAGGCACCATGGCGTTCGCGGACCTGTCACAACTACCGTTGTGCTGAGCGAAAAGTCTGAAAGTTTTGAAACCGGTTGTGTAGGTGACTAACGTTTACTGGCCCCTGATTCGAAGGAAGTGTGGGCATTTGTGTGCAGCCTGCAGTTCGCACACATATTTAGTTATTCTGAAAATGTAACAGTCTTTCCAAAGCAGATCCATTCACCTAGTGAACATAAAAACTGGTATTTTCAACAAAATGACCTTTATATAATTCTGTGGTCTGCCTGTTGGGCTCGATTTCTGTGTACCCAGCACTATGTGGTCTGAAACCGAGTTCCAACCAAACGAATTAACGCGGGCAACCTATCACCTTTTTTCGTTCATCCAGACAGCGACGAATACCGTCCATATGGCCGGCCTACTCCGCTTTGTGTAACAGCACTTCACCATCGCTGCTATATATGTGCATGTTGTGCAGCATTTACTCTGAGAATATGGCAAAGTATGTCATGGGCCGGCTTAAGTCCCAGCGACACCAAATTAGTGTTCATGTTTCAAGACTGTTATCGGGCTCAATGAGAATGAAGGCAAGCGATCTGCCACACCTTCGCCTATTTCATATTTGACCTGTTTTGTTAAACTGACAGTCGGACAAGAGCCTAACTGTAGGCTGCATGTTGACATGCATGGCCGAAGCGTTATTAGTGCCGTCTTCCCCTTAGTTCTCCGTATTGCCAGTAATTTTCAATACAAAGACCACCGGACAACAGGTTGGTCGAAATATTCGAGTCTATACTACTTTCGCCCAATATTGCCACTTGGTCCTCATATTAACCAGCTGCGGTTGCATTAATTTAAACGGCCTGAAATTCTCTGTTCAGTATCCATAAAGCCGTTCTAATGACAAGTTAACGTTGCGTACTAAGGTTTTAAGGTTAGATTTGACCAGTCAGTCGCAGCAGTGCAGATCACAACAGGTAGGGACAAAGTATTGGATTAAAGTTTCAGACATTTCAGAACTAAATGCCCCAGATTATTACTGACCTCATTCATAAGGTTTCAAATCATCCGTGTTGAAATTCGGTTAAAAAAGGATTATCAACGTAGCGTGAACGCAGAGCGTTAAAGACATAGTGGTTTGGCTACTCGCTAGTAGTACGAAGTAAATGTCAGTCCCAAATAGCCTGGGTCATTGCATCGCATGCGGTGCTTCGGAGGGCTCTCATCACAGGCTCTCAGGAAATGGAACAAAAAGTGGACTTTTGAAACTCCTGTCGTCGCAGAACCACTCAACTTAATAATATATTAGATAGAATGTTCATACAAACTAGAACAAGTCGGTAGTTGAGCAACTGAGGAAAAGGGATGAAGAGAAAACGAGGAAATATACTAATATGGTGCTGCATACCATTTGAAATCTGGAGGAGGTTCTCCAGTTGCAATCGCTTCCAGGAATATGTTGTTCCCTTCGAGCACTGTGTGATCACGGAGTTCGCGCGTGAACTGAGGCAAGCGGAATTGATGTTCCTCCAACACGGACAACACACAAGAGCAACGAGCTTCACCCGCAGCGTTGTATGCAATCACTGTATACTGACCTAGATCTTCTCTTGTCACGTTCTCAATCACAAGCTCAAGATGTCCGCTTTGATTCTGAACAGGAAAAAAGCAGTTGGTTGACTTGAATACAACAATCTCAGACCAGAAGATTGGTGAGATTTTAAAAGGGCTTTGTGGCTCGAGAGCAGATCATTTGGAGAATGAACGGAAGCATTGTTTCTAGCTATCATAAACTATTATCCTATAAAAAAGTGATTAGTGTGACTATTATAAACGTAATGTTTTGAAATAGGTACCTTTTTTCCAGTTACACTAACTCTTCAAACTGCGCAAACCAGTAAGGAAGAGTGTAGAAATCACTTGACGGACGGATGCAGAGTGTGGAAGAGACCGCCACTTCCGGGACTTTTTTCATTGCATGGAATAGTAACAGGCTTGATGGTAATGAGGAATGCATTAATTTGCCTAGTTCTTTCAAACCACAAGGAATACAGTACTCGGCACAAAACTTTGTAATTTCAGACCACTCACTTATCCCGACAACTGACTTACTTTAGCCGTTATCCTTGGTTCCAAGTTAGTGTTGATCTCTACTCCGTCCCTTTGCCAGATCACAGTTGCCGATGGTTGGGCTAGTACAGAAGCAGCAAGTCGGATATTCCCTCCAAGCACGATTTGCTGATTACGCAAACGACGGGTGAATTCGGGTAAGCGGTGACGAATACCCAGTGACTCCGATCCACCTGGCATTCCGCGATTGAACAAGCCTGAGAGAAGATTGACCCCAACAAGATTACTTTCAGTAAAATATCCTGAAAGCCAGCTGACTAAATGACACTGACGCCGAAAAAATACACAAACATTCTCCGAACAGCACCCCAACATCAATTGGAGTTATCAAGTTGTCCGAAATGATACGTCTACACGACGNCCTGTCACTTACGCAATGAAAATACTGAGTAGTTCGGACATCAGTCATTCAGAGGTCTGTTTGATTCATTGGCAAATTGTTCAACTAAATTATTAGGCATTTCTTCTTCGTTACGTCAATCGGTCTAGGAATAAATGCATCGATTTCCATTCGGCGCTTAAGCACATAATTACAAAACCGCTGAGGGTACACTCTGCACCTAGATGTATTTTGATTCCCCTAATAGACGTCTCTCATTGAGAGGTTTTACTGTTCATTGGTCTACCCACCCTCTAACCTATCTAGACAATCTTCCCACTGACGAAAAGTCGGAATGTTCTAATTTCATCCTCACTGGAACTCATCAGGACAGAAAATCTTTTAACTGAAGGTTTTTTTTGAAGTTCCGCTCTGTCAATTACTCGTCGGAAGTAACATCACTTACCTGTGACCACGCCCAAGATATTTTACATCCTGGAGTTGGTTCTTTTCAAATGGAGTCTCAGTCTCGACTCGCCTTTGCCCTTTCATTCTCATCATGAATTGTAACATGAACGAACGCTATCGTGTGCGTGCGCTTTTCTGGTTCTCACCATAAGCGTCTAGCAACATTTAGGCCCTTCATGAGAAAAGAGCAACTATCTGGATGTAGTAGTGTCCCATGCTGTCCCCACCCAAGTGCCCTAGCGTCCGAAAAAGACAATTCAACATAGAGCCCAACAGCATAAAAGATTACCGAACATGATTTTATCTACTGCGTTTGTAGGTCAACAATTTTACCGATTCCGTTTCAGTATCACTGAACTGCTGTAGTTAAGCGTGAGATCATATTCACTTGTTCCCAAGTCGTTCAGTTATCCGAAAGCAGTTATGGTTTTGGCAGAAGCGAGCTAATTGCTGGACAACAAGTGGCGTCCTTTTGTACTTGCTTCAAATTCCACATGATCACTTAAAACAGAGACGATTCGAGCTTCGTATCTACGCTTCTGGGTCCCAAAACACGCGGCTAAATCTTAGACTAATCAAAAATGGGTAACCTGACCATGTACTTGGAATGAAAACTGAACTAATGATATGTGAGTAACTGCTTTAAATTTATCTTAGTCTTACCTCGTACATGCAGAGCTGCCTCCGTGATAGCTGTTCCGGCAGCACTGGTAGCGATGCATGTGTAAGTCCCACTATCTCGAAGTAGGGCATCTCTTACAAGTAATGTGTGGCTTGTGGTGTTTGTGGTTGATCGCTCGGTAGACGACTGTGACACAGTCAGCCGGATTCCATCGGTCAGTAACGGTTTACCGTCTTTCAGCCATCGAACTGTCGGTGCAGGTTGACCGCGAACACAGGCCTCGAAGCGAGCAGCGCTGCCTTCGACCACAGTGGTACTCGTGAGTTCAACAAGAAAATGAGGCGCCTCATAGTCTTCGTTTAGCGTGCCTGCAAAAATTGGAGCACAAAAATGTGAATAGTTGACCTGTTTGGACGATTGTGTGAATGTTTGAAGAAACATTCAAACCATAGTAATGCCCACTGAAATTCACTGAATCGGTTCAGGTGCGGAGAAGTTCAAGCTTAGTAAACGTTACTCAAAAATTAGTAGCATATAAATGGCCGACCTACCCAGAACATCAACAACGGCCGAACATGACTGAGAGCCGTGTTTGTTCGTCGCAACCAATGTGTATAGACCGGAGTCAGCTGTATTCAGACTGACCAATTCCAAAGTCAACTGAAGCTCTGAGCTGTGGAGCCCACCCGTTTCTTCTTGATAAAATCGTCTTCGGGTTGAAGCAACTAGAGGCACACCATTGTGTAGCCAGGTGCAACGCGGAAGTGGTATTCCAGCCACTGGGACAAGAATGGAAACATTTCAGGATTATTGCATGAAAAGAAGCCAGATTAGGTATCTAGGTTCTTCTGGGGAAAAAAGTAGCCAAATGCTTCTCCTGAGTGACTGAAAATGGGGACCGATTTGCTCCATGTTTTTGTTCCTGTTATACTCTGCACTTCTTGAAAACAGATTACAACTGGTCCTTATTCGGCTGTTTTACTGACAGATTGTTTTGTCAGAAGTCTGGTAAGAACCATTAAAAATCTTTTATGCCAACATATTACCATCATGTCAGTCGTTCGGGGCAGAGAAATACAAAAAACATCAGTTCAACTCACCCTTAGCCTTCAATTGTATTCGGTTCCCGCTAGCTGCTGACACGTCCACCAAAGGCAAGAGAATACGCGCCCCCAACTCTTCAGAGGCCTGAAGCTCTATTCGGCTTGATGGTCTATGTGGGGCTGCTGTAAAAGGAGAAATATAGCAATCTAACCAGGTGCCAACCGTGGCGGTCCAAAAAGAAGAATGAGTCATGATAAAAACACTTCGCTGAGTTCAGCATATCCAGCTAATCTTTGGGTTTCATTCATCCGACTGGTTGGACGCCACTTAATTATATGACGACTGATAAATAGCCTATTTCAGCGTATGGCTATTTTCCCTGTGTGTATACGGGTTTTAGGTTCAACGTGTGATGACATAGCACTCTTGGCTATCTGGTGGCCTTTATCGAGACTGAAACGGTTATACAGAGATGTAAAGTTTCAAGTTGTCCTTTAATCAACCAGTAATTGTTTTCCCGGAAAGTATCAGGTAATTCCAAGTTAAGTCGGGAGTACAAAGGTTTGTGGATCTGAATGAGTGCATAAATTACGGGAATGTGTGAAACTCTCAAGTTCTGGTGCCAAGGCGACATGGTGTAAATCGTTCGTTCTTATTTTAGAGTCCTAGAGTTCTGCCATCAAATTTTGGGCAGACCGCAAAAGTACAGGTATACCTCAGTTTAGATAAGGAGGTAATGTTTCGAATACCCAGAAAGACTGCTTTGATCGACCAATAGCTTATCTGTAGTAATATCAGTCTATTATGTACACACTTCGCTCTGTTTGTCCGTTCTGATGGGCAGGCGAGCTTGCTGCTTGTCGGAAATTCAGTCAATAGGATAGTAGTTACAAATAAACTTACCATATACACGAAGGTTGGCCGAATCGGATACTTCACCGTACTGACCGACGACCCTAACTTCGTATGTTCCAGCGTCATAGGTGGTCACCTCATCGATGTGTAGCCTGACATCTCCAGTGTCCGGGTCAAAAGTACACATGTAGTGCTGCCTTTGTGGTTGGGTCAGTTTGACCGTTGGTTCCGATAACTTCAACTCTCGGCCGTTCAAGTACCAGTATATTTTCAGGTTTGACATTCGATCCAAAGGAGTTGTGGACTTACGTGGGCGAGGCAAATGTACTGCACACTTTAGTACTGCTGGCCCACCCTCCTCCACACTGACGCTTCCCATTGGAGTGAGGATCTCCGGGGCTTGACCTCTGGCGGTAACATGCGCGTGAACGACTATATCTTTCCGAGATTCGAAAACCTCTGTTTCCATCTCTCTCAGGTACTGTTGAGAATGACGGCGACGACGTACAGAGATTAACTCTTCCACCTCTCTCTCATCCTGCTCTGCAGCATGACTAGCATCAATCCAGCGCAACAGACGTGTGTATGCTTGTTTGCTGATGCTCTCGGCAACATTATGCGTTAATAAATCTTCGTCAATCAGGCTCTCCCCAGATAAACGCTGTCGACCAGTTAATGAAGTAACTGATGGCCTGGGTTCCGCTTGCGTTGTAATCGAAGTTAACCATGGGTCTCGCAAGGCTTCGGCGGCTGTCGGTCTTTTGGATGGATCTGGATGTAACAGACGTTTTGTGAATTTAACCATTTTCGGTGACAACTGAAGTCGCTCCATGCGTGTTAGTTCCGGGGGACCTTCCGTATCACCAGTTGTCCTGTTTAAGTCGAAAGCAATATAGTAAATCTGGTTACAAAAAAGGAATGTTTTGAAATAGTTACTTTCTGGATGAACTCAGTCATTACCTGCATAGATGTTGATAGTATATTGGTATGCTTGATAAGATATACGCTAGTGATAACTTACATCTGATACAACAGCAGGCCAAGTGACCAGAGGTCAGAGGCCGGACCGAAACGTCGTTGTTGCGGGGTTTCACTGCTCAACTCTGGTGGCATATACACTGCGGAACGGAATGTCAAACGAACCGGACGCTCTTNTCTTCACCGAGCGCTGGTTTTGCCTAAGACCTGCCAATGCAACTCTTTTCCGTGTACGATCCGTAAAGAAGATATTCTCTGGCTATGAAAAAAATCAAATACAGCGAAGGGCGAGAATCAGAATAAGGCGACATTTGAATTTATGTGCACCAAGTGCAATTCACCCAACGACCGATGTTCATGCACCACCAACCAATGAGATTTTTCAACAGGAAGAGAGGGTGTTCGATACGGGGACTGAACGATTTGCCATACTTATTCATAATGAGCAAAACATTCGGAATCTTTACGTGAACAAAAAGGACTGTGTTTATTCTTGGATAGAAGAATCACGTCTCTTTTTTTTTGGGGGGGGGGCACTCCCGTTTACGCCGTCAGTTAGCGGATTTCAATCGATTTTACATATGCACTGAGTGTTCCAATCAGATCAACATTGCATATGTTTATGTGCCCACAAAACTTGCATGTTCATACAGCTCTCCTGGAGTAGCTTAAATGCCGAACGAACCAAAATGAGCTCCGTTTTTTTTTCGATGGACCCCATTGTCACATAGGTCAGTGAGGTTTGGTTGTTAACTCTGCGAACGAACCTGAGCTCCGTTTTTTTTTTCGATGGACCCCATTGTCACATAGGTCAGTGAGGTTTGGTTGTTAACTCTGCCATGTACAACCAATCTGAAGAAGTGCACATCCTGCTGTGTGCTACAGCTGCTAAACTGACAGACCAACGGAGTGATACCCTCCACCTAGAACATTTTACTGTCGTCTCCCACTTGTTCTCACCGGTTTCTGACAGAAAACACAGATAAGAAATACTAACCTGCAAACCGAGATGAACGAATCCCGAACGATGCAGTTGGTTTGTCAGATCTAGAAGTTGACGTAGTATTTCGGCCGCCTTGGTTTCCGTCATTGTGATCCGATGACTCAACTGGTGCCATAAGGTGCCACCTGCAGTTACACTAAATGTTGAGAAAAGTAAGGTGGAGTAAAGTATAAGGACCTCCTTGCGAGTGCACTGAAATAAACAAACTAACCCGCTTTGTGCATCTTAACCAATACAGACTGCGGGATCAGGTATTGTCACAAAACAAAGCACCTTCTCTCTAATGGTAGGGCAGTTTGGATAGGTCCGGCAATGGTCACGGTGAGCAGTTTCCTTCAAGTTCATGCTTTGGCCCATCTTTCTCGTTAACTATTCAGTTACCAATGAATTGAATAAAAGTGTTATTTACGTTTCTTATTCCTGAAGCGAACTAGATACAGAGTTTCAGGACATGGGTTGACGCCCAAGAACCGGACCTGGGTTCCGCAGTTGCTAATGTATCACCCTGTTAACTGAACTACTCGTGGCACGCACATAAGCACTGAACAGTAGAGCTGCCATAAACAGTGTGAGTTAACCACTAATCACTCACTCTTCCATAATCGCAACGGTTCGTCTTGCATCTTGATAAGCCTCGTGGAACTTCGCAAGTGCTCCATGCTGTATTTTGGTGAGCAGCTTTAGTTCCTGTTCGGTTCGTTGTCGCCTCCATTCATCCGAATCTGTTAAGCTGGTTCTACTCAAACTCAGTTGAGAGGTCACTCGTCGATCCATCAGACGACCAGTGTCCATGGCACTCACTGGTCTTGGTGGCAAACTATCTCGTCGTGCCTGTTCCGATCGATAGCCAAGAGCACTGGTATGCAACCTCTCTGTGGAGCCTCTCGAAGTGTCCACAATTTTGGCCAGGTAGGAGCGGCCGGTAGATTTTTCAACAAGACGATACAGGCCGGCGTGTTTTGTTCTGTAATATAAGCACAACAATATTTTGAGGTAACATCAGAGTGAATTTTTCTGCAGTACGAAGTTGTCGCATAGCATTCTAACAAATGACTGACCAGCATAAGATATCTCACGCAACCTGCAAAACTCACCGAGCAAGTTCCTCCATGATCGTATAGCGGGATTCAAAGGACCCATCGGCATATGGAAGCACCTCGTCCATGACATCGTAGACTGAAATGCAGGCGTAGTTGTTCGAGTCAATTTAGGCGACTACTTACGGAGTAACCACAGTAACTCAAGCACTAGTCCGTCTTACTTGACACCGTTGGTTTAGTTTATCAATATCTCTACTATACTTCAAACTGATCAGTGACGTACCATCTGTAATACTATGCGTCGGCAGTTGAACAGGATCGGATGGTTCGCTGGCTGGACCATAACCATGCCAGTTTTCGAGACAGACACGGAAGCGATAGGTCACCTCTGGCTCTAACGGGCTCCGTACCAGGATTTGTGTTTGCTCAGCCGGTGTACTTCCGAGGAAGTTCCATGATGCACCTGGTTGTTCACGACGATACTCAACTCGGTAGCCAGTGTACTTAATTTCGGCCTCCAAACGACTGGTAGGGAGTGGTATATCCCAGTAAATGACGAGGGTACCCGGTCCGTGAGGAAGCACCCTGGGTTTATTCGGACGAACATGTGGTTTATCTGAGAAAGTTGTGGACAGAGTGAAGTTTTATGGGTCAATAGCAATCGTTATTCAGCTGCATAGCAAATAGTAACGTCGGTAGGTTAGATGATGTATCAGTGTTAGCCGAAACCTAACTGTCAGGGCTTTCGCGAAGCTAATGGACTAGGAGTTCCTGTCATTCTGGCCCGACATACAAGTCACCTGTTATTGTTGTTACTATTTCACGGACTTTACAATACTCCAGCTACATCCATTTTTCGTTCACTCACACGTTTCGGGTAAGAAAACATAAGGGGCGGGCATGATAACCTATGGGTAACTGAAAGACTGTCGCCGACTTGTTATATATGAATTAGATCAAGCAGGCTGGAATTAAATTAACGCCTCATTTACTTTACCGGCCGAAATGAGTTGTGTTACCCAAAAGGCCGCTCCTGTGTGCAACATGGTCGTGTGACTGTTACTGATGAAGCCTCCACTTGCGCCTACTGACCAACGGTGGACGGCTTGAGATCCAGCTTCAAACTTAGGATCTTTTCCCCGCCACTAATGCAAAAAGTGCATGTGCGAAAAGTTAAGCTCCACCACTTTTTGCCAGCTCCAGTTTAATGTACGCACACAATCTAGACCTATTTTTGAGGAAAACAATTCCTTATCCGTATCTAGGCTCATTTTGTGTAAAAATTTTCTCCGTTCGGACATAAAACCTTAATTAAACTTTCTGACGCTTCCAACTCTCGTTCATGACAAGGAGACAGCAAAGCCACGGAGTGATCCATCAGCAACGTTTATGCAACAAAAGCCACCAAATAACACTTTCAACTGACAGGTGGAGGTGCAATGCCCGACAGTGTGGGCAAGAAATCGGTCTTCGAAAGGGAACTTGGCTGCAGCGGTCTAGGATGGACTTTAGGACAGTAATTCTATTCATTTATTACTGGTCCAAAAATTTGCCAAAAATCAAATTCTGCTCAGAGGAATTATCTATTGGCCACACGACCGCTGTTGACTGGAAGAACTTTCTTCGCGAAGTTTGCGACTGGTGGATTTTGCAGCCTCCAACAGTTATCGTCAGCCCAGGTCTACACGTCGAGATAGATGAAATGCTAATATCTCGCCGTAAAAACCACGCAGGGCGAGTCCTTCCCCAGCAGTGGATTTTCGGAGGGATCTATCGGGAAACTAATGAAGTGTTCATGTATTCAGTGCCAATTTCATCCTCTTCAATAAAAATTAAAAGTACAAATTTATTTCCCTCCTTTTTCTAATCTTTTTTGGGTGGCGAGGGTTAATTTTTTGGCGGGGCTTATCCGGAAAAGATCCCAAACGTCGCCTGCTGACTATTATGGTGAGATCAATCCTGCAGCACAAGGATAAGCAGTCAGAGATTTTTTCCATCCAGATCGTGTGTACACTGAACGGTTGACCACGGAAGCCACGAGATTAGGATAATGATAGAGGTCAAGGCGAATCAAATCACGAGAACCACAAGCAGGTGTATTCAGATGAGTGAGTGCCACATCAGGGGTGGGATTACCTCTGGGTGACAACGATCCAGCTCATGTTTTGGTTAGACTAACACATACATCAACCAGCTTGACAAGTGCTTTAAAATGTAAACAAAACATACGTACACGTGTGTCTGTGCACTGCGTTCACTGTGTGTCCCGATAACTAAGCGAGCATTTTGGATGGTACAAAACGGTGTACAATCTTGTGCGCAAAGTTTTGATATCTTAATTTCATCTCGCGTTACGATAAAATTGCTATCAGAACACTGAGACTTTGGAATTCAATCTGGAACGTCCTAAAATAGCTCCAGAACGGCTTAATGCATCCTTCAAAGATCTTGTCAACTAACTGCATGCAAACAAGTCAGTCATAAGCACCACCCCTTGGGTTGCGGTTTAATATTTCTGAAGGTTTACACATGTGTTCGATCAAACGGTAAACTAGTAAGCAGCACAGTTCTCCACACCTCTATTAGGTATGTATGAGATTACTGGAATCCATCTGCCTATAACCATTTTGGCGTTCACAGGGGTAAAAAAGTGGAAAAAAATGAGTGAAGGTAATAATAATACCAACACTTCAAGTCAAATGAAAAGAAGAGCTCTGCGTATCCGAATGACGATGTCTAGTGATAAATTGCAGTGGAGTAGCCTAAAAATAAGGATGGGGCATGCAGAAATGCAATGTCAAATGCAGATTTCATCCGTAAGCTCCTAAAATATTACGAAAACTGACGAAGTGTGACATGCACAGTACAACGAAGAATCGCAACAGCAAGTAAAACATTGATGTTACCAAGACCGTAGAACGGTGGTTAAAAAACGCTGTCTTTACCAAGTTTCAACTGATCTGGATGTGCAGACGCAAAAGTGCATAGAAGAAAACGGTGCCGTGGTGACCAAAATAAGGCTAGTTCTTTTCGCAACACAGCAAGTCTCGAGTTTGCGCACCGTTCGAAAATTCTAGTCGTAGGAATTACCACAACTGGGACCAGCTAACTCTGCGGTCTAATCCGCAATCTTGTTTGGAAACAGACAAAAGCCAAATCACTCAATCAAGATCTGGCGGGCTATCGACTCATGCTCATAGATATCCAATTAGTTCTTTCACCTGAATAGAGAAAACTGGATGGAGTCTAACGATGGGTAGGTTTTTCCATACGTACCTGTATTTAGTCTTTGACTAAGTCTATTTGGCTTCACAAGATCAAGAACATGGCTCAAGATTGTAGCAGGCTAAACAGTGAACGATCCTTGCAACCATCTTAGTTTGACCCAGTGGCTTGCATTTACCAGCGTCAACGCTTTTGAATGCTACTGTGTTACAAATGGGCCTCGGTTACTATGTCGTATTGTCACAATTTTTGTACAATTCTTAATAACTGCACAGTCTCCTGATTTTCTGGAAATCCGCGAGCGCGTTTCACAACCGATCTAACAGTGCAACAGCTTAGATATGTCCATCTGTACCTCAAATGGGCCAGTCGGCTCAACCGACACTAGGAAGGAAGTGTGCATCAAGTGGTATACTATGTTTCAGCGTTTCTGGTCCACGCTGGAGGCTTCCGTAATCCAGCTATCCATGTGGCAATCACCTAGAGTGCTTGTGACCTGAGCTTAATATATTGCGTGCCTGAAGACTGGTAAATTAGGTTAGGATTTCACTCGACTGTCATGAAAAGGGAGCAATCGACAGTATCCTGTAAACTAACGGTTGTCGGACTAGACTTATTTGATAAAATGTACTAAATGTAGTCACAGAATACCCATTGTTGAGCCTGACAGCATTTCTGAGTGCCTGAAGTCCTGCCAAAGGTTGAACATGCATTACACTAGAGTACAAAACCGGATACTCAAGACATCGCTGGGGAACCGGGGCCGCGAGCCGAATGCTTCAAGCATACAGCAAGAAGAAAACCTCATTGACAATATTTTTCTGGCCTTAACACGGTCAAATAAAAGTTCTAAGATGAAAGTAACTGTGTGTGATGGTGTCGTCCGCTGGACCGGTTTAGTTGTGCCGTTGAGTGTTGGGCGTCCATCAAGTGGAAGGGACGAATCGGGGTTGATTTGTGCAGTCATTCAAATCGACTAAGGAACGACTGTAAAACAATCTAGATCTGTTGAGTCGATAAACTCCGTTTCACCATATCAGTGTTCTGCAACGACGGACTGGTGACCTTTCAGCCGGATTCGTGCAACTGGGCAGCCAGGTTCATATTCAAGGACAAGCCAATATCTGAGGACTCATTTAGATAAAGATTCGATTCTAGGTAGCAGGCTACCTATACGCACCTATATGCACCTACTGGTGCCAAGTGCCGATTAAAACAAACTTCATTAGATCCTTCAGAGTCCGCCTGATGAGTTGTTTCACTGTTGTTTTTGAAAACTAACAACCAATACACTGGGAGTGTTCATCGTCTCTAAAGTAAAGCAAATACCTGTTCCTGTAAAAACGTCAATTGAGTCAAAGTGGGACTGTATGCTTACTCAACTGCACACTGAACTCAATCAAATGGGGTTATAAAACATGCAGGCCCCATAATGTTTTTTAAGAAAGGATTAAAAGAAAGCCTGTAGTCGAACTGACCGCTCTGGTGTTTTCTACTATGTTCATCACAGATACATGGGGTTTTGGTTAAAGGAGTCCAGTTGGCATGCCAAGTGTAACTTACATGCATAGCACCCAATGCATTGTGCACACCGAACAGAAGGGTTGCATGCAAACATACCAGCTACACGAAGTCGGAAATCGAGGTAGTCGCGACCAGCTTGGTTTTGAATCCATAATCTGTAGACACCTGCATCAGTAAGGCTGATCGAATCGACCAAAAGTTCGACCCAGCGAAGTCCTTCGATGATTCGAAGTCGAACCCGAGATTCCAGTGACTCGGGGAACTTCCCGGTGTCGGCAAGTGCAGGTATGCGAGTCAGTCGCTCCAACCAAACTTTAGTTATCCATTCATGACCCTGAGTACAGTCCCAGTCTTCTAATGGGATGCGTAGCTCCCAACTATCGCCATGTTTTACCTCGAACTCGCGCACGTCCAACGACCAGTCGAAACGACTGAAGCGTGGTACGGCTGTGAGAAAGCAATGAATATGGACGACTGTGTGAACGATAGGGACGGTCGTGACTTCAGTTTACAAACGCCACGTTGGTAGTAAAAATTACGCCAATCAATTAACACAACATCCGAAAGGTGGATGTGGAGATCATGTACTCACCAGTTGCTTGTGACTCGCGGCTACTGAGTCCTCATAAGGGAAACTTACTCAGCACGAAACCCAAATCCGGTAACTCAAAATGGTTTAAATAACACTACTTGTTCGTATCTGAAGTTCTGTCGGTAATCTGAATCATTAAGTTGAAACCATTTTGCAAATGCATTGCCAAATTTAATTCAACACACCATCATATTTTCCAGTAGGGCTTGAGGATGAAGCCAAACTGTATCGGAAAGCTGAGAACCATTGTACAGCTGTTCCGTCTTTTTTTGGAAATAACCAACTGTGTGCGTCTCATGAAACTACAATGAGTTTCGAACTTGTCACATCCTGGTTAGTAGTTAGAACACTTAAGTGTCCGGCCACGAACGACTGATTAGCAGTGTGATAAGCTCTCATAGCGCCACTCATCCTTCATCACGAAGCCACATCACGTAGCCACGTATTGACTGGCTCCTCGAGTGACGACCCCTCAGAAGGGAATTTCACTCATCTTGTGAAACTATTCTTCCTCTCAGTTATAGACGGATGATGGTACGGGTAGATTTGGTAGCTGGTGGCATCACCATATTGGTCCTGACCATTAGCGCGTTCTTACTCACTTTCAAGCACGGTAGAGTCCTCTTCTACTCTGAACTCCGGTTGGTACTTCCGTAAGTACAGCGCTGTTTTCTGGGTGTGTAGCCAGAAACAGAAATTGGGACGCAAGAAACTGCACACTTCCGTGTAGTGTTATTGCTTCAAAGATTTTCGTGGATGTTGCTACACTAAAATGAATGAACAAGAGTGCCGTAACGGTTCACTGAGCTTTCACCCAAGCCAGTGGATGTGCACACGTTTTTCGGCTTCATCATATTATTGATCTGGGCGCTGTATCGATTAGTTCATTCAGGTTTTGGTCGGGTGATGTTTGTCCACCAGACAGTGCTCTCGTGACCCATTGTAGTTCCGTGAAATCAGACGCACAACAGTAGTTCTACATTCATGATACCGATCACAACAAGAACCAAAAGACGAAAAATAGTTGTTCGTTCGTTATGAGTTCCCCAAATAAATGCGTAATTCGACAGTTGCAGCATAACCAAATACAGTAAAAATGATGTTAATCTTTACGGCAATTCGCTTCAAACCGCCAGCAAAAGCAAACACAGCCGACAGTAACCACAGTAAGAGTAATGACACGAACGGAAGTTAGAACATTGGAGTCCCACCTGCCACCACAATTTCCCACTTGTTTGAAACCATTTCATAAGCGTTCCATGCACGGCACTCCAGTAAACCTGCATGATTTCTTTGAACCCTGTCGATCGTCAGTTCGAACACTCCGGCTCCGACTCGACCAACGCGATAATCCGAAGAAATCCGATCGTCCAGTCGGATGTGATTCAGGTACCTATGGATGGGAGCAGAAGGCAATTTAAAATTGAAAGCACATCTGACCAAAAACTGTCTAGCAGGTTTAGAGTGTCCGTGGCGCTACCTAACTGGAAAATCCTGGGAGGAGGGGCAGCATAACTAGACTCACAAAAACAGAACTGGACCCTTGTTCGAGGCATCAGGTAAACCAGTCCCTTCGCTCAAGCGTGAACACAGTCGCATGTGCGGACATGATAACTCATATACGCCCAGCGTTCGCTGGTGAAGTCGTGGTAACACACTCGCCTCGCATATCAGTTGTCTGGAGTTCAAAGCCCGACACAACCGATGACATGCACTGCTTATGACATCTAATAAGAGCAAAACTCGAGTTCAGTACTTCCCCCCTTGTGGTGTGGACTCACCGGAACGATTGCGCCAGGACAGGAGGTGGATAACTGTTCAAACGAGTGGTGTGAATTCCGCAGATCCCGCGACTATTTCTAACTTGCGTCAATGTTGTTGACTCCATGGTCGTGGATAGTTGAGGCTTGTAATAGACATCTGCTGACGCATTTGTGAATACTCCCTCAGACTTCCGAAATCAACAATACCACTTGATATCCGAGGTTGTCTAACCTATGCATGATTGTGCACGTATCATGAACTAAGCACCCAACTTTGTAAAACCGTTCGCCATAACCGAATGGCTTCAGAAATGTGATACCTTTTTCTCGAATGACTTACCAAGCTACCGACGGTGTGGGCTCCCCTTCAACTTCCACAGTAATGACGAGGCGCTGACCAAGAACGGAGTAGATTATTCTGTCCTCCTTGAGATTAAGGAAGCGTATTGGCACACGTCCTGGAAAGGAAACGAGGACTGCTATTGAGTGAAGGTCAGTGTGAAAATGTGGAATCGACCTGCCACAAAGACTACCCCCCCCCCCAAGGAAATCTGAAACATGTAGCCANGGGGAATCCCCCTGCCACAAAGACTCCCCCCCCCCCCAAAGAAATCTGTAACATGTAGCCACAACCGTCATTCTCGTGAAATTTCGTCACTGGAGGGGTAAGAGAAGGTAGGATTGAAACTCCAATAAATTTCGTGACGAAAGGGCCACTGATGCGAAGAGAACTAACATCTGACGTGAAGTAATGGGGATGGTTCCAGTGACAACTGGGACTAAATAGACGGCGCCTCGAAATCCACAATAGCCGGGGGCAGCATCAAATGAACACCAAATAAAACACCCAATACATAGCGGTAGCCATTCGATAACCGATACTGGTACAGAATAGATGGACTTGGTTCCATCCTAAACTTTGTGGGCTATTATGAAGAACGGTGGATTCTTCAAAAAGGATTCCGTTTGTACAATGTTAAGAAGCGCTATAGGGGCTGGGACTCAATCAAGTAAGTAATATCCTCTAAACGATCTTTAGGAAATTATTTTCTAACAATAAATTGGAAGAAGTTCAGAACTCAAGATGAGACGTGGGAGCTACTTACGCTTTGGTGGTACGATTGCGATTGGTTCCTGGATCACTGCTGGAACACTTTCTGCCTTATCGCAACTGGCCGTCACCCGAAATTGCCATTGACGTCTCTCTAAATCCATGGAGCTGACTGGTCGCCGCTTTTTACCTGGCAAAAGATCGCGGGATTCCAGAGCAACTGCTTTCGAACTCATCTCATCCACTTTAGCCCGGGAGACGTAGTACTCAGTTCGAGCAATATCCTTACTTACAACCAACCAGTCGGTAATCAAAGAGCCGGACGAATCGACCTCTCTAGCCTCTAGTTTGTATCGAACTCGCGTTAATGCCTGATCAGAAAGCTCTGGTGGCAACCAAGTAAGTTGTATGCCCTCTTCAGCATTGTCGGACCTCACATGAGCCCGGAGGCGCCTTGGAGCGGTCAACCAGGTGACGAGAGCTGCTTCAGACGTCTCTGCGAAACCACCCGTAGTGATTGCAGACGGTAGATAAGCCACCTTGGTACTTCTCGCTCCAGTCTGTTCATCCACTCCAAGAAGACGAAATTCATAAGATGAACCTGATCTCAATCCGAGGACTTCATAACTTGTGGTTCCTGGAGTCCAAGGTATTCGAGCGACGGGCTCCCAGATTCCCAACCTGTGTTGATCAATGAGTCTCTTCTCTAATAACATATAGCCGTAAGTCGGCACTTTCAATTCATTAGCCGTCCATTCCAGGAGAACTGACGTTCGCCCAATATGTTTCGCAATGAGTCTATCAGGAACGAAATTTCCAAGGTCGAATTCAGTGTCCGCAGAACGCCTCCTTTTGGCAGTCCGGTAATATACATCCTCCACACCCTCCCTGACAGTGACCCAATCTGACTTGAGGCTATCGTAAGACAAGGCGAATGTGTGTTTTGCTTCATGCTCCGAGACTTCCGAAAATATTGTTCGGATTCGGAACTGACTGGTTGTGTCTAACGGGGTGAGGTAGTGCAGCTCCCTAGTTCGACCTACTTCATACCACATACGCCTATGAGGTAAGCGTTGCTCAATAACATATTCAAATTGACTTTCCAGCCTCTCACGCCGGGTTGGCTCGATGCTTAATGGTAAACGGGGTGCCCTCCAGCTCAGGCGACAGATATCGGAGGACAGTCTATCAACACGCAGAGGACCCTGTGGTGCGGGAAGTTGAATTCGATCAAATGTGAGATCCTCCTGTGCTTCGTGACGAGATTCTGGGACGGTGTACAGCCGCATAGTTTGAATAGGTTTCCCGTAAATATCGTCTCTATAGGGTAGCACCCGGAATCGATAGGAATGTCCCGGAATTAGATCACCGACAGTCACTCCAGAGAACGGGGCCTGTAAATCTGTGGCTGGGATACGCGCCACTGTCTGCCACCCAGTAGGTAGATCGAGATCATAGAGATCAACAACGTATCCACTGAGAGGCTCTTTGCTGGGAACCCAAGTCAAGGAAACTGATGGAGTCTTGGTGTAGCGAGTGACTGGTTCAACCAACAGTTCACCGGTTAGGCGTATCGTGGATACTGGAAGAGAAAGAGAAAGTAACTCCTTGTCACCGAATTGTGTAAAGTACCTGTCGAGGAAATACTGATACGCATGAAGGGTCGCGTGCGATACAGCAACAAAAAAGAGCTTGACTAACACTAGTCCATAGCATCTGTACCAGCACAGAGAGGTAATACCATCCGGGGGAGACTTTTTGTAAACAAGCTAATCCCAGAAGAATCTAAAAATCCTCTACCAGTTTCCCATGAGAGTCCTTAACTCTGGGGATTTGACCACCATCTCTTTAGAAAGCCTAAAATTTTTCACCAAGGAGCGATTTCACTCTCGAGGACAATTTATGGCAAAATATGGAAAAAACACTTTCCAACGACACAAGTTTGGCACAGAAACGATTGCACCGTAAGCTCAAACACAGTTGCACTGGCCCAACAAACTGAAATCGAGAATCCTACTGTTACTACTCTATGTGTCTTGAATTAATCATTACATTGAGTTTGTCCTTCTCAGTGTTGCTACTTAGACCCCTTGCTCAGGCATAATTGATGGTCGTGCAATATTTATGCACAGTTTTTCGACTCCGCTGAACGATTTCTTCTATGGTGGTTGAGACAAAATCATCACAAACCGCAACATAGGAACAATGATTTTGACATTACAACGATCACGTCATCCTTCTCACTGAAATTGATTTCAGAAGGAAGGTATTTCTACAAGTGCTAAGCAAAAATGAAGAAATAATACTCATGACTTAGTGAGGAAAACTTAAGTTCCTCAGGAAATACAATCGATTGGGGAGCACTGAACATCTGAGGATTGTGTCGGAGCAATGTCATCAGCATCCTTTGCGAACCCCGCACAGAAGAAGCTTAGCGAACTAACGCACTATGAATAGGACTTACACCATTCCAGTCAAACGAACCGGTCTCATATCATACAGAGTCCCCAACCACGTGCAAGGAGGACTCCGTAAGCCCCAGTCAACAAAATGAGAAGATCCTACAGCATACCGTTTGACTGTAGCTTTCTCTCGTATTGTCATGTCATGCCATGTTGCCCACCAACTTTTCTTCGGCAAGTGTTTGGGATAAAAAGCAACCCCGTGTGTGGTGGATGGTGACTGGGCATGTGGCCTGGAAGGCACTTATTGCTGCTCTTACGTGCCGCTTCATGGCTGACACACTATGATGTTTCTAGACAGAATAGCAACAAGTAAACTTTCATGCCAATTTAGACTTCAGGCACGTTTCTGTCCTATTATTGTTCAGCCAAATTCTACCTCGGCTTCAATTCTCGGAGAGGCGAGTCAGATATCGACAAAGTGATTTTTGGAACCGGCAAGTCCTAAGACGGAAGTCCTTTGTTGAATGGCAACTGCTTCTAGTGCGATTTGTAAGTGCTCATGCAGGATATTACGGCTTTTTGTCACTAAAGACCGATGAATATTTTCTTTGAAAAGTCATTTCCGAAGTATCTTACACTTCTTTTGTGCACAGATTTTGGATCCCATTTATTATTCCCCAGGAAAGGCAAAACTTATCCTCCTCGGGCGAACTACTGTACTTAGAATTCTTCACGATCAACTCCATACTTCTTTACATCTGCCGTTGTGGCGTCACCTCAAATTCACCTTAGGAAGTTTCACTCACTTCGGTGTTGCTGTTAGTTCACCTGTTCGCAAGGCTGTGAAACATCACTGTGATTCAGAGGCTAGGTTCGACAGAAACTTACGTTTTGTAGATGGCACTTTGTAGGGTTCGGTCTGGACTGGTTCACTAAGTAGGGGCGCTGCACGGGATGAACGTCTTGAGAGTATCGATGTTTTCAATCTGTCGGGACCATGTCCAATAGACGTGACACGGAAAATGTACTGTTTTCCCGGTTCTAAATCACGCGCTTCAAATCGCGTTTGCCACGATTCTAATTCAGCCAAATGTTTCCACGTTGAAAGTTCCCCGGTTCTGTCCGAAACCGTCTGATACTCAATCAGATAACCAGCTGGAGGTGCTGAATAGCCCACAGTGGAACGACGTAAAGTGGACGGTATGAAGTCTTCCATGCTGAATGTCGTTGGTGGCAGCCAAGTCAATAACACACCTGGAGAGTCTCCAATCAGGGGTGCGACTCGAAGACGTTTGGGTGGTTCAGGTATAGCTATAATTGGGTAGATAAATATGAGGGCATTTATATAGAATAGCTTGAAGGAAATGTAACAGCTGAAAGAGGTGTATTTGACAATGACTGATAGACGGATGCTTGTATAAGTTAGACGACATCAGCGCAAAGACAAGCTATTAATCAAACGAAGCACTCACCCCTTTTTTCCGCGTCAACTCTTGGTATCCAGACGGGCTGTGGAAGAAGCGCGGGTTCGCTTTGTGAATCAGTTGTCTGGGTGAGCACTCGGAAGTGATAAAGTTGATTTACGGGCAACCCTGCGATTCGTATATCATATCGGCCAGGTACGGTTTCCGCAGTTATCGCAGCCGGACATCGTGCCACTGGCCACCACTGTTGACGATCCGGTCGCCATGACTCAACCACGAAATCGGCTGCTGAACGCATCGTGGATGGCATACCGATGGGTGGACGCCAGCGCAACACAACACTTCCGAAATTGGCATCTTCGGGTACTCCATCCACTGGTTTTTCAACTGAAATATCAACTAGCTGGAATCGTTCTGGTGATGGTAAAACTGGACCACTAAAGCTCGGTGGAGTAATGTGCATTGCAACAGGTAACGGTGTGTGAACTCTGCGATAATCTGCGGGTTTTGTCGCACTCCGTAGCGGCGCAGTCCAACTTACAATGTCGGATTCTAGAAAGTCGCCAGTCTCGCGCGAAGTGATAGGAGCAACTCGGAATTGATATGCTTCTACTGAAGATGGCGGAACAGTTGGTGTTGGCTCTACTCTATAGTGGCCTGCATCTAGAGCAGAACGTGACCGTGGAACGTGGTAGTCGTATGTTGTGGGGCGGTAGACAAATGATTCTTGTCCAATCGGCAAAGTGCCTATTGGATGCCATCCAAACTCACCGACACGTCTAGCTTCTAACAAATAACCAAGATCTGATGTAACAGCAGGTTCAAACGCAGGACGGCCAATTCGGGTTGCCAGAGCAGGCGCGGAGCGCGCCAGCTGTGGCCAGCGCAGCTCTATCTGAGGAGGCTGCTCAACACTGGTTTCAGATATAACGCGAGCAATGAATTGACCCGGCTGAAATCGCGGCAAGCGGGTGCGAAGGTCCCGGTCAAGAACAGGTTCAATTCTAGTGACCAAGGGAGCACTGAGACCAAACTCATTCTCGGCTCTTACGCGATACAATACTGGGGCGGGCTTGTATGTGGCCCATTCATCTTCAATAGCGGTGAAGCGGTCTCCGGACTCAGTTCGGAACCGAGAAGGCGGAAGCAAAGGTACTACTGCAGAGGAAAGCGTTCCGGGCACTCGACCCAGTTCAACCCATTGAGCATCTGGTTTGTCAGCCTCAGCAGCCTCAATAACATAGGTTGCTGGGTGGGAATAGGTTTCACCCACCCCAAACCCATCCAGAAGCGGGGGCAACCATTCTAGTTGAACACCGGAACCGTATGGCAGTAGCTCAGAACGCAGTGGACCCCGGGGTGCAAGTGGTGGTTGTAGGTGGTAGGTGACACGAGATGAGGGTCTGCTGGAGGGTGCCGAAGGGCTCATGTCTTCTATCTGTAAGGGTCTGGCTGTTTCCAAAGGACTGCTAGCACCCATGCGATTGACCGCTCTCACACGATAGGAGTATGGTGTAGATGTTTGATACGTAACCCATGGTGACGGAACCAGTGCTCTAGTCTGTGTGCCTGGTACAGTGAGCACCTGAACCCAGTCACGCGCAAGAGCAGAAACTGGGCCACCGCGACGTTCAATCACATATTCGGTGACAGGTAACCCGCCAGTGTCCACTGGGGCGTGCCAAGACAACTGAACTGCAGTATCTTCAGGAAGTTTTGATGTTGTACGTCCGAGTAGACTGGAAACGGATTTGTCGATTTCGAAGCTGTCCAGTGTGGAAGAAGGCCTAATATGTGCGGGTGCTTTGGTACGAATGAAATCAGCTACTAACGGGCCTCGGGGTCTTGATGGGATATCTAAAAGAAGCCAAAAATGTACAAGTGAAACCACCTCCGACACAAATATCGTGCGTAAGAAAAGCTAAACAAAATAAGGATTGAACATAATGATCGGTTAACATGACAATTGACATCTCTACTTCTTCCGTGCACGAAACAGATTTAAATAAAATCAAGATAAACCCTGTACAATCACAAAAGGTGTCGAACACAGGAGACGAAATCTCACGCTTCAAACCGAATGTGGAAAATACCGTATGATTTAGCCATCGCTAAATTAAGCACACGAAGTTTCGCCAGTGATGTGCTGGTACAGTACCAGTATTCTCTCCAGTCACTTATTCAAACTTTAATACATACAACAGTAAGGCAAAAAGGTAAATATTTCGAGAAGAAAGCTTACGAATGAATTTTTCGCCAGGAATAATCACCACCAGGTCATATGGTCGAATGGGACCGCAGTGTCTTGGTATTACCAACCAGGATTGGTGCAATGGCCGGTCACGATCAGCTGTTCTACTATGGAGTGACCACCATCACACAGTCAGTTAATAAGGGGTCCGTTAAGGTAAATCCGTTGAAGTCGATTTTAAATCAGCAGTAAGGTGACTGGTGAATTTAACTTTTGTGACTGAAGACTTGTCACAGGAAGGCTCAGGCAACTTGTGAAAGACTTACGCCTTATCAGTGAATCACTTGTATTCTGAAGGCAGTGTAGAGGATGACCAAATGACTCACGAAGTCACGACTAGTGGGAAAAGACGACGCGACTGTACTAATTTAGTAAAGCTGGTCAACCAAACCATCACTTCGTCAAAACAAGTCACAACTAATCGTTAAGTAAGTCCAAGTTCTTCAGCCAGTTTGATGGCATATGTTACAGCAAATGGACATTAATGGTAGAGGAACATTCTCATGAAAAACGAGATACGCATTATATTTTTATATATATATATATATATATATATATATATATATATATTAATTGAATGACTGACCACAGCCACTTACCGTAGGGTGGAATCAATCGTGAAGTGGTCACTTCTGTGATCGGCATCAAAGTCTCCATGGGACTAGGTCTAGCTGCAATTCGTATCTCAAAGCGTTCACCAGGTTTCAAGTGGTCAACCTTGAAGTTCATCAGACTAGGTTGACTGGGGGTTTCTATAAGTCGGCTGCTAATACCTGTTCTCTCGGCTGTAATTGGTCTCCAGGTTAGATCGCCGGGTCGTCTGACTTGCAACTGGTAATCCACCATCGGATATGTATCTAGTTTGGCTAAAAGATCAGCCGAAGGTATCCACTGTATTTTCGCTTCATCTGGTCCTTCCGGTGTAACAATAAACTGCTCAGTAGGTAAAATCGTTGCCGGCATCTCACGGAAAGGTAAACTGGTGGCCCCCACATCTTTGGGTAGTCGGAGAGCGTCTAGAGTGGATACAATTGGACCTATTCGTGATCCCACCGTAGGGGCTACACCAAGGAAAATGTCACGCGCTGTTGGCAGTGCAGAACGCTGTAGTTGCGTGGTAGTTGTTAAACCGGGAACCTGAGTAATCTCTTTCCACTCAGATTTCCCTAATTCTCGGGCAAATATCACGTATTTTTCGGGTCGTCTTGTCTCTCGAACCCGTTCATGTTCACTAAGAGGTCTCAGACTTGACGGAGACCAATCGACAATGATCTCATCTGAACCACGAATGGATGGTGTTGGCTGAAAGAGACTGGCTCGTACTTCAGTGGGCTTCAGTATTGACAACTCGTCAGCAACGGGGACTGCAACTGTCGGTGGATGATGCGTGGATACACCATGTTTCGAAACCGTTGGAATGGTAAGCACCTCTTCAAGGCGATCAGAAGTTGGTCTTCTACTACTTCCTCGTAATTGATCACCCACAGTTCGGATGCCAACATGAATACTAGTAGGGAACTCTTCCAATAATGAAGCGGGTAGCATGAGGCTAGTTTCTGTCACCCCGGTTTTCCCAATAGGATACCAGCGATTTGCATAGGGACTGCGATAGAGTACTTCGTAACCTGAGACACCCGTAGTATCGTAGGGAGGTTGCCAACTGATTTCAAACTCTTCTCGGTCTGGTGCACGGCTTTCAAGGCGGGAACTGGGCCGTGAGACCAGTACACGTGGTGTCAAATAAATCGGACCTCGAGGTCTCGGAAGTGGATAATCCAAATCAGTTAGGGCTTGTCTGAACGAAGTTTCAGATAGTCGACTGGGAATTTCAGTACCTGGCGACCACGAAGTTGCATATAATGGTTCACTCCGTCCAAATTCGTTTTCGGCCAAGACGCGGAATTCATAGTCTTTCGGTTCACCGGATAGGACACTAGTGTAGGGAGTACCTAAGAGACCGAGAGCGAGTGTATCGACGGATGCTGATTCTGGTAACTGGGCCAAGGCTGAAGATGGTCGACCGAGGGAAGCTGAAACTCTGCGATCCCACAAATCAGGTTCCAGGCCAAAGATGATCCTTACACGTTGTCCATGCGTGACTGGCACGCGAGAAAGCAGAGCCCATGTCCTTTGTTCCCGTCTTCGCGCCTCGATCACATAGGCTCTGGTCGGCCCAGCACGATCCTCCGAGTCTTCACGTATTGAGGTTGGCTGCCACCTCAATTCGATCGTGCGATAGGCTGCATCGATTGCGGTCTGCAGACGGGTCGCAGTGTCATCTTGTACCAGTGTCGGTATCATCTCCAGTGGTCCAGATGGCTTCGCTGGTGGCAACGGCATTCTGTGTGGACCTTGCTCTTTGGCAAGTCCGGGTCTTATTCGCGACTGGATCGCCACTGGCTGACTAAAACCGGATATGTTTTGAGAACGTATACGAAAGCCGTATTCTACGTCATCAAGTAGGTAAGGTATTTCAATACTGTAGGTGCCTTCGGGCACTTTTTTGAATGGAATCCACTGTTTCGATTGGGAATCCCACTTTTCTATCAAGTAAAAATCAATAGGGGCAGTCATTCTAGAAGGAGGACGCCAAGATAACTGGCAAACAGATTGGTCAGAATATGGTTCTCCAAAGAGGTCCGCTCGGAACTCTGCAGGAGTTGGAGGTGTTGGTGGCATCCCTGGTGTCCCTGTACGTGGTGGGACAGTGGANCAAACAGATTGGTCAGAATATGGTTCTCCAAAGAGGTCCGCTCGGAACTCTGCAGGAGGTGGAGGTGTTGGTGGCATTCCTTGTGTCCCTGGACGTGGTGGTACAGTGGAAGTAACCGGCAAGGAATCTCCGATGCGGTTAAATGCAGTAATCGTGATCCTGTGAACGTGCATAGCGTTAAGCGATGTGATGCGTACGTTTGTTTGGTTCGGTGGAACTATAATTTCCCGGTCTTCTTGTGCGTCAGCGTCATACACAATGAGTCTATATCCCAGCAAATTGCTCCCACCATCATTACTGGGTTTCATCCAAGCAACTTCCATCGTTCCTTGTTCCCATTCGATTGGTGCATAGATAGGAGACAGTTCAACTCCCCAAACTGACGATGGAATTGTAACATGTCGTGGTCTCGGATGTAAAGGAGATTCCATTTGCAGTGGGATACCACATGACTTTCCTTCATGATCAAGTGGGACTACTCGGAACCACCACCCTTCGTCATCCGGAATAAGACCTTTAACAATGTATTCTGTAGCTCGGGGCCTAGCCTGCCCCACGGTAATCCATTTGCCCTGACGAGTATCCCATTTCTCAATGCCATAGGAATCCGGCTTCCTCGCTTCGTATGGTCTAAATGCATCGTCTGACCAACTAAGTCGAACGGAATTTGGTGTTAGTTCTTCAGCGATCAACTGGCCTTGCACTCGGATACCGTACGTTGGCGTACGTGTACTAACTCTGGAGGGGATTCGATCAATGGTAGATTCTGGTCTCCATAACAACTCTTGATCAAATGAACGTTGACTCATCGCACTGCGACGTCCCATGGATGATGCTAGATCACGACGGGCCATATCTTGGGCCATTTGACGTCGTGTACGGATGAAATCCTCAACTTCCGATGTGCCGGTGTCCACCCCTGTGATAAGGGCAAGTTCTAAATCACTCTCATCCATCATGGGTAGAACTGCAGTTGACTTTGGAGCGTGAGGAGTTGTAAGAGGATACCCAGTTGTGCTGGGTAGAGTTTTCCACTCCATGGCCGACGTGGGAGTAGAAGGTCTCCGAAGTGTCTCGTCCACCAATGGTTGCAAGCTAAACTCAGTCGGGACAGAGCGACCTACATCACCACGACTAATGATTCGCATCCGATGATCTGGTTCAAGTGCAGTAGGTGCAGCAACGGAAACTTTTAGCGGTCCACTTTTTGGAATGTCGATAACCGGTTGCCACTTTTGTCGTCTGGAATCCCAATCCTCAATACTGTATCCGCGAATGGCATCTGCTCCAGGGCCTTTCGGAGGGACCCACTCTAACTCGTAACCCAACCCAGTATCTTCCAGAAGTCGAACAGATGGAACCGAAGGCAGAACCTCTCGAGAAGCTGCCGAAGCCGGGCGACTGGATGTTGGTGCACTCGCGAGGATGACGCCGGTCATAACTGGTTGACTGGTACCCTCCGGATACACAGTGGAAACACGGAACTTGTAGCTACCAGTCCCCCGAGGAGCGACAGATTGGTGAACGAACGAAGTTTGACTAGCATCGCTGATGGGCAAAAAGTCTACTATCTCCCAGTTAGCCGAACGTGCGTCGTTATCCAGTCTTTCGATTTGGAAACCAATTGGTTGTGGTTCGTGTGTTAGTGGACGTGGTAATTCCCATTCAACTTGTAGTATGGATTTTACCGTTCGTGCTTCATCCTCCGACTGTGGAAGTCTGCGGCCAAGAACACGCTTTGGTGGAGCCAAGTTCAATCGTTTTACATAACTGTCTTCTGCAACCAACGGGTGGCCCATGCCTTCTTTGTTTACCGCGGACACACGGAAGAAATATTCTCGGTTAGGTTGAATTCCGGAGACGATATGAGAGGGCTGATGTTTGTGTTCAGGCCCGACTGCGACAAGCTGAGAATCCGAGGGGCATGGTTTCCAATTAAATGAACGACCTTCGCGAACCTCTAATTGGTATCCGAGAATTGGTAAGCCACCACTTTCAGTGGGTGGAGCCCAAGAGAGCTCCAAGGTACCGGTTTCTTCCGGCAGTTCACGTACTCTCAAAGGTCCTCGCGGAGGGCCTGGAACATCTGTGAAAACAGACAGGAAAAGATTGGAGTGAAGCGTGAAGAGTTTGTTTATAGAAGAACATGCAACCACAGCAAAAAAATATGGTATCTTCGACCCAAGCTGGTGACACGGTAGCCCATCATTCTCTAAGTGGGGTGACACCCAGCTAGTCAGCGGACGGGAAGTGACTAACTAACGAATGCTCTACGGACTGTAAATCTCCTTGTTGTGAGGCCATCATTCACCCAGGGGAGGACAGCGAGTGAATAATCCAAATCGGCTTGGCTCATCAAACGTTGCCAATATCACGACTTCACCCCACCGTATGCGTGTGGATATTAAGGCCAGACTAAGAAGCAAACGACAGAAACTAGTAAGTTGCACGATAGATGTAGATTGTGATGTGTATCAACTATAAAGAATTAATCGTAAGACATCATCCATGTTCACCCGCTCCCTACATTTACAGCCTGTAGTTTCATGGAGAAGTGAGGCATAAATTACACCACATATGCATGAGCGTAACTCCGAAAAACCCTTCCAAATTCGCCAAATAGCAGTTCTGGGCAGTGTTCCATCAGTTAAGTAGGACATAAGCTTCAAAACATTAGTGATAATAATCACAACTTTTGAGTGAAACTACAGAAATGGACAAACTCAAGGTCACAAAATCACCCTTTGTTGATATGAATACAACACACGAATGCTTCTCAAAGCCAAGCCAAGGGAGCGATACTGGTCCACAGAGCCCTCGTCAACCATCCGCCGTTAGCCCATAAACTGGCAGATAGAGAACACGCATCTGTGTCTGATTTTGAATCAGTTCCGCCGTAGCAAGCAGATACTGCGTCCTTCCGCCTACTTGGTGCCTTTCCTCTTCGTACAGGACCGCCATTTCGATCAAGCGGCGTGAAAACGTCAAAAAGTGAGAACTACGGAACCTTCTGGTGGTGACGCCTTGTCGAGAGGAATTGCAGTTAGATTCTTCACTCTAAATGTCCTACAAATCAATTAGCTGTAGTTTTAGTAAGCGTATATACAATATTTTAACTGAGACTTCCCCATTTCTGTTTCAGGATACCCACCAAATGAGCATTTGGGACATAGATATTTGCGTTTTGTACTTTCGCTGCTCTGCGATATTCTACGGAATCTCGATCGGATGGAGCTCAAGACACAGTGGGTGAGCCAAATGACTTCACCTGACGGGATCGTGGCCAGTTCTGGATTATGTGAGAAACATGAAACACTGCGTTGTCTTGTGCGAATATTTCGACTCTTTCAAACTCCTGGCAACTAGTGGCATTCCAACTCCTGCACCCATCAGTACGATGTGTCCAAGCGATTTCGCAATGAACTGGATATCCTACCATCTGCGATGAGGCTACATGGTAACTGTCGATCAGAAAAATATTCACATGAACGTGTCAGTCATGGATCAGACATTGTACCTGCACTGGAGAAGTGTGTCATATTCTCTTTCACAATATTCAAATTAGCACCAGCTACTGATTCTGATGAGCCTGCCAAGTAGTACAACTCGTTGCTGTGGTTACATATAGGGGTTGGAATATTCTAACAGGACAACGCAATGTTTCACACCTCTCACATAATCCAGAGCTGACCGCGATCCCGTCAGGTGAAGGCATTTGGCTCACCCATTCGATTGAGATTCCGTAGAATATCGCAGAGCAGCGAAAGTATAAAACGCAAATGTCTATGTTCCAAAAACTCATTTGGTGGGTATCCTGAAACGAAATATTATCTCTACGCCTACTAAAACAACAGCAAGGTGAGTTATAGGTCTGTTCAAGCAGAAAGTACAATCAAAATCTCTCTCGATGAGATGTCACCACAAGAAGGCGTTCCAGTTTTGATTTCTCATTTTGTGATGTTTTTATGCGGCTTGATCGAACGCACTCTGATTAGATGATCACTAGTGTTATTTTCCTTTCTCAGCTCCCTCTAGAGCCACTGGAATGTTGTGCTGGATACTAAAACTACTTGGGTGATTCCTTTACTTTAATTTATCGTTTCCGTTTCACTAAGCCATTCCTATCCTTCGTAGTGGAGCCTGTTCCTCCGTATGGAGATGTTGTGTCTATGATTCTAAACCAAACAGACAGAGAGGCAAGTTTTTTTTATCCAACTGAAACTGCTATCAATAGATGTTCAAGGTTTCCATAACTGCCGAAAATGGGTATTTTTAATCATGTTTATGTGCGACTAAGCATTTTCGAGTATACATGATAAGATGATATTACATTTTCGAAATGTGTAACTTTGATGGATTATCCGGAGGAGTATCATGTCGCTAAGTTGCGCCAGATATCCAAGTAAGAATAAGGCGAATCCCAAAGTGCAAATCATGGACAACTTGGTCATTCGCTTTTTTTCCACGGGAGGGGCGTACTGTTGTGTAGGTATGAGTGCACTCACGAAATTTCACTGCTCGTGGTTTCTCCCATTCAGCTCTTGCACCCTTTCGGTACCCGAAAGAGGCACGAGGGCTGAGATACTGCCATGCTATTTAAGTTTAGATAGGAGTAGCTTAGATGCTGGGGTTTGGTTTAAGCCACAGACCTTCTGATCAGTAAGTTCGTACCCTAATAACCTAGCTATCTCAAGGCCATTGTTCATGATTGGAAGATAGTTCATGTTAGTTTGGATTCAAAGTTTCAACAATGGGTCACATCATTCCAGCCTCAACTCGCATTTGCCCGCAGACCAGTGTGGTGTCATAGTGACCCACTTCAAGCACAAGTTTGCTGTGTTTAGTCTATGAGGACCATTCTAGATTTCACTGATTCAACCTCCACACGCAAAGAGAATAAAGTCTCGAATGATAACTCACCGGTTGCCTTTGCAGGATGAATATTCACATGTGTGTCTAGTGGTTCGGAAAGACCATTCTTATTCTCAGCCACAACACGGAATTCGTAGCTCGTTGCCTGCATCAGATATTGAACTGCAAATGACAGCTGCTTAGCGGTCGGCAAACCAGGTGTTTCAGTTAGTCGGCCAATTTCTTGCCAGCTTCGGCGATACATTTCACGCTTGTAGATTCGATAGCCCAACAATGGACTTCCTCCATCGCTTACTGGACTTGACCAAGTGAGTGTACACCCAACATCTGTGATATCATGGGCACGAAGTGGACCGACGGGCTGACTGGGGACCGCTGTAAACAAGGAAAAATTTTCAGGTTATTAGATTTTGTGCACGACTGATTGCTACTTCGTAACTTAGCTGAGGTCATATCAACGGGAACTTACTGGTGATCACCTCGGGAGATACTGGTTCTTTGGTGGAAACGATATCCCCTTGACCAGCCTGATTTACAGCAGCTACTCCGAAGTAGTAACTACGGTCCTGACGCAAATCTCCAACAACCAAACGATTCATATAGTGGTCCAAATCGGCCACTCGTTTCCACGGAGCCTCCGGTGCTCCTGCTGGTGTTGCAGGACGGACAAACACTCGGAAGTTATCGATCGCTAGATGGTGTGCACGATGAGGTCCATGGTCATGGCGACAGTCATGTGGAACGAGCCATTCAACCGTGACGCTATCTGCGGACTTCCCCACAACTCGAACCCAGTCTGCTTTGGGTCTGCAGCCTAGAGGTTTTGAATCGGAAAGGAAGGATGTGGTCAAAATGACCAATGAGATCGTTGCGGAAAGTAGTAAATTTAAAGCGAGGTACAAACAGTAGCTGTCGTTCTGACCCATTGTTATTGCCTAAAAAAATAGATAGTTGGCAATATGAGAGGAATTTGAACAGAACCAGAATTAGACGCACCAAATCCTGTGGGCTTAGAACATTATATTGTTGAATCCAGGCATTCTGTTCCATTACCCTTAGGTGGCTAGTAATCCTTATTCTAAATGGTGAAGTTCTGCATTTTGGACTGATTAATCCTTGTTAGAAGCCCATAAACTAGAACAAGTAAGATTTTTCCGTTTAGTAGTACCATTATTTCCAAAGAGTAGTCTGTCCCTATAAGGATAACAACCTGGCTCTCCAAATTTTATGAGGTGTACCTGATAGAAAGTAAACGGGACATGAACACAGCACTTACTTTCGTCTTCAGGCATTTCGAAGACATCCGACTCCAGGAAAGGACCAGTCCCTGCAGCATTAACAGCGGCAACTCGAAAAACATAACGCTGTCCTTGCATCAGGCTCGTTGCCAGTGTCGTAGTCGGCACAGCCAGTTCGTCATCAAGCTGCTGTGCCTCATCTAAACTGGCCTGCCTTCGACCAATCCGGTGCCATCCAGGCGTGTTTGCATAACGCATTTGTGTAACATACCGTTGGACTGGAAGTCCACCGGTGTCAGCGGGAGGCCGCCATGACAACCGCACCGAGCCGTCAGATTTGCTTGGACCTTTCTGTACCTCTGATATATTGATGGGGCCAACTGGTGCACCGGGAGGACTGAATGGACTTGTGGCAATTACTGGCTTTTCCATCTCCAAGGCTGGACCTGCTCCGGCGCGATTTTCTGCACGCACACGGAAGCGGTATTCTCCACCAGATTGTAGACCCGTGACCTTGATTTAATTGAAGTAATAAAAACTCATTTGTATGATAGTCATGCACCTCCAGGCAAATTATTTGAAAAGAGATCAAAAGACTTACATTTATCTTGACACTAACAATACCCAACTCAGTGTACAAGACTCACCACAATACTCGTTCCATCACTGACTGGTTGCCGAGCAACATATGCCCAACGCGCTCTCTTTGAGTCGTAACGTTCAATCAAATATTCCTCCGGTACACCATATCCATGCGGACCACCAACCTGTGGAGACTTCCAGTCTAGCTGAATTTGTCCAATTCCGATACTGCGAGCTACAAGTGGCCCGACTGGAGCCCCAGGCGGTGCAACAGGGGACGCCGGTTTGTAAATTTCGGAATACAATGGAATGCTGACCTTCTCCGCCTCGTTGCGAGCGGATACGCGGAAACTGTACACGCCATCAGGAAGGAGACCATCGACCCGTTTGCTCAAACCGTCTGTTGTACCGACTGGCTTCCAATGGTCACTAGACTGATCAAGACAGACTTCAACGATATAGTCCTTAATGGGCGCACCACCATCGTCCAACGGAGGACGCCAACTCAGCCGCACCGCATTGTCACCGTCAGGAAGCAGTCGGAGAGGTGCTACCGGCTCAGAAGGATTGGTCGTTGGTCGACAAAACGGGATGGACTTCTCCGTTTCCAACCATTCACCAGGACCTTCATCATTAACTGCCCGAACGCGGAACCGATAGGCGAAACCCGGTTGCAAACCACTGACTACGTAGCTTAGCACGTTCTCAGGCACGGATGTCAAAGGAACCCAACCAGCCGGATGGCCAACATCTTTTATTTCCAGCTGATAACGTTTGAGTGGAAGACCGCCATCCTCAAGAGGAGGTTGCCACTTCAAAGTGAGCGAGGAATCTGTGATGTCGGAGCAATTCAGTGGACCAACTGGAGCATCAGGTACGCCTGAAGGGAAGAAGTAGACTGATTATTAGAACGTTTATTGGTGAGGTGAGTGAAAACATGGTAGGAAAGAAAATATCAGTACAGCTTGCTCTATTCATGATGGGTACAGACAAGATGATTGTTTATATGAACCATTTGCAGCCAGTAAGATAAAACCATTCATAGGTTCGATAAAACTAGATGTGGTCCTTTGTTCCCTGAATATAACTGGTCAAAATGAGCGAAAATATGGAAGATTCCCCATACAGGGACCACAACGGCCTCTGATATTGATAGTTTTCCACTCTGGTATTGTTAGTTAAGTTTACGTAGCTGAGAACTTTCCTACTGTTGTGTCTTGCTGAACTGTCGTTCAACTTTGTGTCGGTCCTTGGCTTCTTTCTCCGACCACTATGGCATATCAAAGGGCACGGTGGCTTCAAACAGCCCCTTATGGGGACAAAGGAAGCCTATTACAACTGTATTTATAGGGCAATCACAGATTGGCCGATATTCTGACCAATCAGGCCATGCTTTCTTTTGATCCGTAGCCCGCACGTGACACATTCGATCAATTGATGTGGTGTTCGGTTATCAGAGGCGGCTGGCCTCCGGATCACGAAAACCGCTAGGATTTTCCAGTCAACTCGTACGATGTTGAAACCTACAACATGCAACCTATTTGGAAACGAAAACCGACAGAATCGTGTGCCCGCCTAGCGGTCTGCTCAACGCCAGGCTCTTTGTCACTAAATTCTGCTCTATTCTGCTAGTTAGCTATAGTTGATCAGTCACTTGTACTAGGGCGTACACCTCTTGAGGATCGGACAGATGCATATTGTTATTGACTTCTAACAAACATGAACCGGCTGTGCAGTATTTGTGGCTGCTCAATATTGACTGATTATTCAATAAGACTCATTTAAAAATTAAAACAAGTTCTTGAAACAATTAAGTGGTCGAATATGTTGCACTCTGTTCATGAAGTGTTAGCATGTCACTGAGACGATAAATGGGGATGAAGGGAACATAATAAACATGTTGGTTGATATCTTCGAGATGGATCGTTATCGAAAGGACTACATACCGAATGGTGTTTTCAACACTATTGGTTCGGACAAGAGCGGTTCACTGGGACCAACAGCGTTGTGCGAAGAGACACGGAACACATACTCAATACCCGGTTTAAGGTCAGTGACTCGAGTTGACAAAGTTTTCGCTCCCTCCAGACGTATAGGACAGCCAAAATGAGTGCGTCTTTGTCCATCACGTCTTTCAACTACATAACCCAGTACGGGTTCCGCATATTCTGTGCTTTCGCCAGGACGTAGAGGGGACGGATTCCATGAGAGTTCAACAGTTGCACCTTGTGTGTGGCCCTTCACAGGTTCGACCACTTTGACAGAAAGTGGCCCAGTAGGTGGAAGTGGTTCGGTACTCACAAACAGGCGAATCACCGCACTGCTTGCCCCGGCCGAGTTCTCAGCGCGTATCATATAGTTTCCGGCATCACTGACATCCACATTACGAAGATTGATATAGAAATCATCACCGAATTGTTCTACACGGCACCGACCAAGCACAGATCCAGTTAGAGGTTGGCCGCTACCAGTCAGAAGACTCACGGTGGCACGTGTGGAGTAGGTCACGTGAGCTCCGACACGCAGATTGTTGGCGGGTCGGAGACGATATTCGTCTCCCGTTAACAGCTTCAGAACAGGAGCATCTGAGCGAAAAAAAGGAATGGGACAGCAATCAATAGTGACATCCACAAAATTCTGTTTGCATATCGCTTCTTCCACATCCGTTCTTCTAACCACTAGGGACTTATTCAGACACTTAATCTACCCACAGTGGACCAACAACTGTAATCTACCATTTCCCGCAGTACCTTTCGCACGGAAACATAGCACTTTTAAGGAAGTGATTCGAACTGTGTCCCTTTCCACTGAAGATGAAGTATGGATTTTAGGATATGCGTGGTGGCAACGGCACTCCCCATTGTCAGCTATGACACTGTGTTGCTTACCATACTGCCGACAAACTAGAACCTATATAATGCTGTAACTAGCAACAATATTACTATACATAGGGGCTGATGATAGTAATGTTTAAACTGGTCCCTCCTTGAGTATAAGACCCCTGAATGCTGAGCTCAAACGCGTCTGGTGAACTCATGGTGTGAACCTCAAATTCACACCATCGGCCTTACCGAAACCTGGTACAAACGTAAGCGCCTGAGACTGAGGAGCGAAATGCATCTGAGTAACAGGTTCGGTAGACGCAAACTCCGATTCTCACAATCCCTTGGTGGTAAAACAAAATTCATCCACTAGGTCAAGCAAAAACCGAATCAGTGTGATGTGGTTCATTGCCACAAACTTTTGTGTTGCATTTGACGTCGGTCGGAAGCGTTAGATTTTCGCTTCGCTAATTGAGTACTGCTATGCTGCACAGAGGATTAATTACACTTTTCTGCTTGTTTTCTATACCAACACATTATTACCATACATAAGGACAAAATACTACTCGATTTCTAATCACAATGATTAATTTGTATCTTCCGGTTACTTCGGCAATAACCATGCCTATGTTGCTAAATCTCCGGTAAGGACAAGTGATTATCAACAGTGTTCATAGGGAACCCAAAAGATAACTTTTTGATGGCCACAGGCACCATAACGCGAATGCAAACTATAGAAATGCATTTTTCGCTGCATTCCAACCTTCCGTTCTTCCGGTACACACAGAAAATTGAGTTCCGATTTCAGGAACACAAATGAACTTCATCACCATAGATATATGACTTTCAGACTAGAAAGCCCCTTTTCGAGCTAGTTCGCAGGAATGTATTTATTGTCCCCAGGAGATCCTAAAATCATAGAAGTTATGGTGACTTCAGTCCCATTGAAGATGAATGTGGAAATCTACGTTGTTCTGCTGACTCCCTGGTTGGAATAAAAATCCGATGTGCCATATGAGCATACACAGAAATAACTTGCCCGTAACATCCCTCTTCGGCTTGGCAGCCTCTCGTAACGCAGCCATTTCTGCTAAGATATCTCTTTGTTCATCCGGTCGACCTTTGTCCAGATGTTTCTCGCGATCAGTGGGTTCGCGACGCCGTCCAGCTCGTTCTGATTCATCAGGTTCTGTAATTGAAATTAATGAAGTGAACGACACGAACCAATAGGATTCAGTTTGGAACTATTCAGTGAAAATCACCTTCACAAATTTACTTTTAAGAATCTTTCATCACGAACAAGATTATATAAGCCAATCACGGCCTCACTGTGGGCCGTGCAAACTAAAATAACAGGTTCTCAAGCATACACGCCCCCTGTCAAAATCCAGCTACAAAACCTTGATGATGCTATCTAAACGTAACCGAAAGGTTGGATTGTTGCCGGAATTTCCGTCAAGGATGATTTGATGTCTCGTATGACAGAGTTACTACTTCCTTTTGAGCGGCAAGTTTGCAAGATGCTTCTTGTCCATACCGGACTGAGTTGTGTGCAAAGCATTCACAAGAAACTTATTGCAGTCATGGCCTCCAAACGACCTGTAAGTGATCTAGGACGGCAAAGCTGAACTGACAGCTTCTCACTACAGGTGACTGAGAACCGGTAGAGGGTGCTGCAAGAGAGGCTGCAGAAGACATACAACCAAACAAGTATCATAGTGATGACAAACAGGCTTACAGTGCTTACGAACCAGTGTACCTCACCAATGACCCCACTGTGTAGCATCTCAGTGCATAGCTCACCTTTGGCAACAGGTGGCACCCAATCGGATGGTTCGGATGGTTCGCTGAACCCAACTGCATTGCGTGCCTTCACGCGGAATTGCACAACCATATTTGGATGCAGATCGTTTGCACGATAAGTAGTTCCAGATCGAACGAGGGATACGTGAGTCCATTGAGAGGCTGGTGCTGAACTCGGATCTGGCGATTCACGTATTTCTACCAAATAACCCTGAAGTACATCCCCGCCCGTTTCAAGCGGAGCATTCCAGCGAACTGTTGCGTCACGCGCCGATGTGCGATCGACAGCCACATTCGTGGGTGGTGAGGGTACATCTAAAAGAAAGAATGGTTAATGGTAAGTGATGTTCACAGAAAATAAGGCTGATTGGCTATCTACTTAAACCGAGACAGTTGATCAAGAAATTCTACCTAGCATTGCGGAATCTGAATATTACCTGTCAGTGGCTTCATATGGTGAGGCGATTCTATTTCTGTTGCATCACTCGTTCCAATATCGTTCTGTGCTGAGACACGGAAGGAATACACCATTTGAGGCACACAGTTGCGCACCCTTAGCCGGTCGTCATAAGGTCCAACCTGGCCAACACTAGTCCACTCCATGTCTCGCGCACGAACGGTGCCTTCAGGTCCAGAAACTACACGACGTTCCACAAGGTAGCCGGTAAGTTTAGATCCTCCATCGCTTGCTGGCCGTTC